ACACACACACACACACACACACACACACACACACACACACACACACACTCACACACACACACACTCACACACACACACACACACACTCACACACACATACACACACACACACACAGAGAGATACAAAGACACACAGACACCTAAACACACACACCTAAACACACTTAAACACACTCACATACACACACACACACCTACACAAACAAGGAAGTCTGGATAACATTCGGTCAGTGACACAAAACACCCTGCAATACAAACTAACACACACACTCACAATGAGATACGGTGTGTATGTGTGTGTGTGTGTGTTCATACCTCAGGGAGAATAAGGGATCATGCCTGTTTCTGTTCTTCTCTGCTCGTCGATCAACACCTGAAACACATAAATAAAGTAATTTAAACAATAAATATACAACATCAGGTTTAGATTCCAGAGGACAGACATGTACCCGTCTGTCTCCATCTGTCACCATCTGTCCCCAGAGACAGATCAGTTGCTGTCTAATGTCTAATGTCTACACATTTAAAGTACTTTTACTCTCTACTTCTACTACATCTCAGACTTTTACTGCTTATTAAAACACAAAACATATTCTCAGACTTAAAGGGTTAATAATATAAAGCTGATTATTAAGCGTTAAAGGGACACACGTGTCCTCTTACAGAGTTATTTATAGATCTATGTTATCACTCTATAATATCTATAAATATTAACCGTACAGATGTTTGTCTTCTCTTTCATTTAGTGAGACCAGATGTTCATCTGTGACTTTCAGGAGACAGGAAGCAGCCTCCTCATCCTTCACAATAAAGTGCTAAACCTCTAAGACCCCAGAAGGAGAAGCTGACAGCTGAACAGTCGTCCTCCTGTTTGCTCTGCATCTATTTATAGATTCACAGTTTCTATTTATTATTTATTCCCTGTTCTCTGTTGCTAAGCGACGATGAGTTTGATGTGAAGATGAAATCTCACAAAGAGAGACCTGAACGCTGCTCCCATCAGACGTTTCACACCAACAGGAAGTGAGGTCAGCCATGCTTTCTTCATCACACACTTCTTTACACTAAAGATTAGTTTCTGTCCGGTTTAAATGAAGTGAGTTATGATGATCAGTGAGGTTAAAAAAAATAAAAAATAAAAATAAACAATAAAATAAAAATAAACAATAAAATAAAAATAAACAATAAATTAAACAATAAACAATAAACATAAAAATAAACAATGAAGAACAAAAAATCAAATGAATCTGTTGTAAAAAATGAAGACGTTCAGGTGATTATCAGACCTCAGGTGCAAATACTGTATATATGAATATATTAATAATAATAACAATAATTATTCTTCTCCATCATCTCATCACACATGACAGACGTCTTTAAATACTTGAACAGAGTTTGTTCAGTCTCTCGTTCTGTAGATCTGTGAGTCGCTGGGACGGGACATAACTCAGCGGCATGCTGGGAGATATCTGAAGGGTTGCTAGGTTACCACACCCAGCCGTCCAATCAGCTGTCAGAAATGTGGGAGAGACAAAGAGAGATGCTGCACTAAAATAGACCTCCCACCATCAGACCACCAACACACACACACACACACACACACACAGAGACACAGACACACACACCCTAACACTAACACACACAATCTGATGAAAGAATGAAGAAATAAAGTACAAAAAATAAAAACACCACAAAGTTTAAAGATAAAAATGTAAAATTCTCAAATCTAAGTCATAATAAAATACTATACGTAATCAGTAAAACTGACTGAGAGGAGTAAAACTATCTGTAGTACAATTTATTTCAACAGCACTAATTCATCAGTACAACACAAAACAGAGGTGGAAGAAGTACTCAGTAAAAGTAAAACTAATACCACGCTGTGAAAATACTCCACTACGCGTTAAAGTCCTGCATGACTGAAGTAACAGTACATAAATGTAGTAAAAGTATTGGTTGATCAGTGAAATGTTTTACTCTTATATCTGATGTTTCTGATATTACTGCTGCATTAATGTGTACGTTGCGTTTTACTGCTGTGGATGTTTTTTTTAACTCTTTAAAAAATGTCATCTTGTTGTGTTGTTGATACCAGAATCAACATCACACACATTTCAGATGATAAACTGATTTGAGGCTCTGGTGGGCTACGATATCAACGAAGCTTCGCTTATAGTTTAAACGGCTACGAGGCTAAATTATGAGCATTATTTTGATGTTTTAACTCTCTCTTTTTTGACTGACTTTTATGCAGGACAGCATCCAAAGGTTTATACACCCTCAATTTGTCTTTTTATGTCTTTCCAGCTGGACACCAGCCTACTGTTTTCCTGTTACCACTGTAGCATTAAAGCATGGTGGAATTAGCACGCTAACTAGCAGAAGGCTTGCTAATTCTATCAAGCTTTCATGCAACACTGGTGACAGAAAATGATCTGAATAGAGCATCTGATGGAGCATAAGTTGTTAATTTCTTCTCATTAAGTGGCTAGCTAGTTAGCTAGCTACCTTGCTAATTCCATTATGCTGTCATGCTAACGTTACACAGAAAAAGAGCCAAACAGCAGGCTGGTGGCCAGCGACAATGCTACCTCACTTCTCGCCGCTGAGAGACTACTCGCCGCTGAGAGACTACCAAGAGGAGAGCAGGCAGGAGCTCTAAAGACTAGCTAGCTAACTAGCCAGCTCTGGAGATAGGCAAGCTAGGTAGCTAACTAGTCAGCTCTGGAGATAGGCAAGATAGTTAACTAACTAGCCAGCCGTCCTCTCCGGAGCTCCCGTCTACTCCCATTAAAGTAGTCTGTCAGCAGCGTAAAAGTTGGTTAATTTGGTGACAGTTTATCACAAACATTCATCATCAACACATAAAGGAAACACTTCATCCTTCAGTTCATCACAAACATTCATCATCAACACATAAAGGAAACACTTCATCCTTCAGTTCATCACAAACATTCATCATCAACACATAAAGGAACACTTCATCCTTCAGTTTATCACAAACATTCATCATCAACACATAAAGGAACACTTCATCCTTCAGTTCATCACAAACATTCATCATCAACACATAAAGGACCACTTCATCCTTCAGTTCATCACAAACATTCATCATTAACACATAAAGGAACACTTCATCCTTCAGTTCATCACAAACATTCAACATCAACACATAAAGGAAACACTTCATCCTTCAGTTCATCACAAACATTCATCATCAACACATAAAGGAAACACTTCATCCTTCAGTTCATCACAAACATTCATCATTAACACATAAAGGAACACTTCATCCTTCAGTTCATCACAAACATTCATCATCAACACATAAAGGAACACTTCATCCTTCAGTTCATCACAAACATTCAACATCAACACATAAAGGAAACACTTCATCCTTCAGTTCATCACAAACATTCATCATCAACACATAAAGGAACACTTCATCCTTCAGTTCATCACAAACATTCATCATCAACACATAAAGGAACACTTCATCCCTCAGTTTATCACAAACATTCATCATCAACACATAAAGGAACACTTCATCCCTCAGTTTATCACAAACATTCATCATCAACACGTAAAGGAACACTTCATCCTTCAGTTTATCACAAATCAAAATCACATCTGGAGATACGTGGTTTTCACTGGACAGGAAGGGAATAATATACTGTCATCTGAAAAGTAACTAAAAAAAGTCCTCAAGTGAAGTACAAGTACCTTGACTGTGTACTCGAGTAAAAGTACTTTGTCACATTCCACCAGTGAATCCAGCAGAAGGACGTTAACTGTTCGACTTTCTTCTTCTCTCTTTGTGTCGGAAACGTAAATGATGTGGTTGATATCACTGAGGAGGTCGTTAGTCACTGGTCACTGCATCTCTTCAGAAAACACAACCAGGTCCTGAGAACGAGCAGACATTCAGCTTTATGACACACACACACACACACATACACACACATACACACACATTTGTTGGTGGTGCATTCAAGGACTCGTTTACATCGTTTGACATCTGAGATTTCAGAGTCTGTGGCAGAAAGTCGACACAACCAAATAATTGTGATGGACTGTTTACATCCAATCTTGTGTTTATTTGTTTTTAGTTTTTAAATCATGTTTTTATGCATTACAGTTAAGTATTGTACTGATGACTTTTGTTGTTGTTGTTGTTGTTTTGAGCGTTTATAATACGGTGGCCCTGCGCCCAAAGCAACGGGCGCTTATCAGTTAACTGCTGCCGGCTCAGTGGACATTTTAATAAAACATATTTTAACTTATTTTGTTTCTAAACTTTAACGTATTATCGTTCTCGTCTGACAGCGACTACATCCTGTTAACACAACGCCTGTTTTGCATCTAACTGTGTTTATTTACTCAGATCATTTTAAAACCGGCGGTCTAATGCTAAGCTAAAGGCTAACAGCTAGGCTAACATCAGACATCTACAATAACATGTTTGTTCTCTCTTTGCAGCAGTTTGACCTCAGGGCCTCCGTATTTAAAACTGTCTTTACTTCTTCAGCTTCTATTCATCTGCAGATACAGTTTCCGCCTCTGAAGGTTCGTCCCTCTGGCTTCACTCTTCGTCTCTTCAGAGAGACCTTTTTATTTGTTGAGTCATGATGCAGTGAAATAAAAAAGCATGTTGACGCCTGAAGCTGTAAGTGGGTCAGAGACTGAAAACTGCTGAGTCACCACTTCACATCGAAACATCGACTTTAAATGTTTTGTTTACATTCACTGTTTAGAACGTCGGAGAAGAAGAACCCTCCTTTCCC